TTTTTTTCCACCTCGTGTCCGATATTTATATTTTTTCTTATGAAGGCCGATATTTATATTGAAGTCCGATTAAAACTGAATTCACGCTAAAAATTTGCAGCTTTATTCTTCTTTTCTCCACAAAAGGTGGTAGTTTGATGAGAGTTTTTTCTTGTCGCTTGAATCATTTACGATTCTTTTTTTTTCAAAAAAATGTGAATGATGTCACATATTTTCAATTTATTTACCACCAATTTTCAACAATCGAGTACCCAAAATTCAAATGAATCTTTCCATTTAAAATTTTAATGATTAACTAATTTATATTTTTCATCAAATTATCAGAATCGTTAAATAATAATCAATCATGTAATTTGAGGAGAACATGTAGCCAGGTGAACATATATTTTGACAAATTTAAAAATAAAATTTGTATAATTTTAAAATGAATAGATATAAAATGCTAAAATTGTCCTTGATCGTTGTCCCAGGATTTCACTCTTCTATATAGTCGAAATTATTGATATCAGTTAAGAATTTATCAACTTTAATTCTAAAAATTTATTTGTAAAAATTTCATTTTTCCTTAACGTATTCAATATCCTTTTATGAAAAAATTAACACATATTGTGGAGGTGTAATGCAACTGCTTCATTTGCTTGGGCTTTTAAATGGCAATGAAATATGATCTAATAATATAAAATACTTTATATTGTAGGAATATATTGAACTTTAATATGTTTTTTTTTTTAAATTTCAATTTATGTAATATTCTTTTCTTGTTGAAAGTTAATTTAGTTAATGTCTTAAGCTAAAATAAGTAAAAAAAATAATTAAAATTTCAAAATTAAAATTAAGATATTCAAAAGTTATACAAAAAACACTTTAAATTACAATTATTCTTATATTCCGATAAAAAATTATACTTTAAAATATTAATATTCATATAATATAAATTATTTTTTTTTAAAAAAATCACGTACTACTCCCTACGTTTCTTCTTAGTTGTCATGATACGCTTTTCGAAAGTCAACTTAACTAATTTTCAAAGCTAAATTAGATTACATTAATTCGATATTTTAAAATAAATTTTAAATATTCCAAAACTATATGGAAAATACTATAAATTGCAACTTTATTCATAGTAATATGATGAAAAAATACATCTTAAAATGTTTATCAAAATTCATATGCTTTGACTCTAAAAAAAGAAAACTAGAACAACTAAAAAGAAACGAAAACAATAAATCGAATCGAAATAATAACAATAATACAAGTGAGAGGACCATTGAGGTAACAATGACACAAAACACCTGAAAAAATACATTTTAAAATGTCATGGTGCACTTTTCGAAAGTCTAACTTGACTAATTTTCAAAGCTAAGTTAGATTACATTAATTCAATATTTTAAAATGAAATTTAAATATTCAAAAACTATAGGAAAAATATTATAAAATACAACTTTATTCATATTAATATGATAAAAATAAAATACACAATATAGGTGAGAGGATCATTGAGGTAACAATGACACACAAAACACCTGAAACTTAAAATTGCATAGACTAAAATAAGCCGACAAAAGAATGTGGATGACCTTGAAAACATATGGTGCGTATAAATTGAGTATTTTCGATATCGTAAATTTTATATAAAAAAATATACTAATAGATAACGAATATTTAATGCACATTAAGAACTTTGAAGATTTAACTCATAATACTTGAATTCTGAATCCATCACTGCTCAAAAATGACATGAGTTTTCATAAACATGTTGAAAATACTCTTCATAGACCTCCTCAAATAACATATGGTTTTCATTATTATTGAACTCTATGCATTTTTCAGGTGGAAAAAGGAAATTATCATTGAGGAGTAATTCATCTATCACTTGAAGTTTCTCAAAAATTTCATCTTGGTTTTGATCTTCAATATTTTGAGATGAAGAATGGATTTCACTAGTAGAGGTTGCACTACTTGTGCCATCTTGATTGCTAGAAGAACCTAAAAGAGAAAAAAAAATCTTAGGCTTGTGTCATTCGATAAAATTTCATAAAAAACAAATAAATCCTATGAGTAAATAATATTTTTTTTTAAAAACTATACTATATTTAGCGGTTTTGATATACATCACCTAATAATTAATTTGTTTTAAATAACCGCTAATTTTTTATTTATTTTAAAACGTGACACAATAGAAGGTTCCATTAGAAAATCACATATGCACTTACTAGTGAAATTGTGATTATTATCTGATACTGCTTGTGCGGAATCCTATGTATGTGGTTGCTCCTCTATCTTTGTTGCTACTTCATCTTCAATATTATGTTTTTCGACAATCTTCTCCTTCTTCCTCCTCCTCGTCTTATTTTCGTCATTATTTTTTTGATTAATTTGGGAAGAGACGTTCGGTTTTTCCTTTTTCCTTCTCCTTTTTTTTTCTTGAGATTTGTGTTTTTGCGGCTCATTTCCTTGTCCTTTGAGTTTCTTGAGAAGACTCGTGTTCCAATAGTTCTTGACGTCATTGTCTGTTCTACCGGATATTCTTCCGGCAATGAGGGACCAACGACTACCCAAAAGAGTATAAAGTCGAACAATAAGATCGTCCTCTTCGGGTGTAAAGGTCCCTCTATTGAGTCCCGGTTTAAGATAATTCACCCATCTTAATCTACAACTCTTGCCGCATCTTAGTAGCCCTGAAATATGTGAACTACATTTAATTAGTTAACTAACTAGTTTAAGTTAATAAGTGCATTGATAAAATAAACTTTTTATATAATTCGATCAGGGTGATCGGAGGTGAAATTAACCACAACTTTCTTTAAAATGGTGATAATTGATACCCTATTTGTTAGAAAACTACATTATATAACTAGGTAAAGAAATTCTTAGGTACACACATAATATGTATGGAATTCCTTTGACGTTTTCATATATTGTTTATTTTATTATATTTTGACTTTGATCGTATTGAAAACTTTAGCACTGAAAATGACCTACATAAACACAAATAATTCTATGAAACAACTTTAAAAACAGAGTAATTCATAGTATTACATACATTTTGAAGCCACTTTTTCATTAACTCAAAATTCACAACGTCTAAGTTTTGATCCGCCACTATAGGCAAATTAGAAACTTGACAAAGATATTGCATCGAATGGATCAATACTCATTACTAGAAAATTGCATTCTTCTACCTTATCAATTCAACATAAAATTCAAGATATTTCATCAATTAATAAAATGAAGACATTGTACTTGTCTTAAAAGGTAGACAAATTATTTTCGATTGATTTTTCTCGAAAAATAAATTGAATTTTCTTGAAGTGATTACCTGCTTTCTTAGGAAGAGATCTCCATCCAGTACCTTCACCAAAATCCTTAATATATTCAGTAAGAAGTAAATCTTCTTTTTTAGTCCATGATCCTTTCTTTAAACCTTCTTTAGAACAACAAGGTTTTCTTCCCATTCCTAATTCCTTCACAAAATGATAATTTGATTTTTAGACAATGAGTTCTTTTTTGTGTGTGTTATTAATGTATGAAAAAAAAAAAAAAGACAATAGAAATGGATCATCTAGAAGTTATTAAATAATCCAAGCTCCTTTTACAGAGTTTGTTGGTATGCATATAGTATATGTTATTTCCCACATGTATGTTTGTTGGTTTACCGGACTGTCATATATATATATATATATATATATATATATTATATTTTTTTCGTTCATTTTTAGTTTTTTACTTGTCTGTTTTGGATTTTGTACGCCGTTTAAGAAATAATGATTAATATGAGAATATTTTATTATATTATCTATATTAATTGCTATTTAATATTAATGTTTAAAATTAATTTTAAAAATAAGTAACTAATTGTAATGATAAAATATAATTTTTTTAAAAATCTTCTTAATATATTAAAAACGACAAGTAAAAAAATGAAAATATATTTATAGAACAATGGATACATGAAGGCGAAAGTTATTGAATGGACAACTAGTTAGATTATTTATTTATTTGAAAAAACACGTTTTTTATATAATGTTCTTATTTTATCCTTCATAATACTCATGTTTAAAATGACATGATTCAAAAAATATTAATTGGGTGTTATATACAACGCATCTTTAGCAAATACGAGGAGAAAATTCAATATTTTGTTTGTATTTTTTAATATTTTTATGTCTAGTCTAATAAATATGACAAAAGAAAGTACTAGTATTATTTAAGTATAATGAATTGATTAGTCAAAAAGTTGCTCCGTCCCACTCAATTAATGTGATACATTTTTTGCGTTTAAAAGATTTTTTTTAACGATTATAAATCACTTTAATAAGATAAAAATAATTTTTTTAAAAAAATTTAAATCATTTTAAATATAAAAAAGTTATTCTCATTTAGCTATGGATAGTTTTTGCCCTTTCAAAATTTTAATTCGGAGCATAAAATTGTTATAATGTTTCAAAATTCAACAAGAAGTTGAACCCCCAAATTTTACGGAATTTGAAAAAAAAAAATTATTTTCACACCAAATAGTTACTCAAGAAAAAAAATAAAAAAAATGAACTTTAATTATATTTATATTCAAACACAACTTCAATTTAAATATGATTTTTAAACTTGAAAATAAAAACTCCTATTATTTAGTTTTTCAAATTATTTTTTTTATGCTGAAATGACAATTAAACTAATAATTATGTTTAATTCTCTGAAGCTAAATGTTTCACGTGTATGAAAAATGTTGGACTATGAAAGTTCTTTGTCATCACATGTAATAGGACAGATAAATTTTTCTAAGGCCAAACCCATCGGTGGCCCCTTAAAGTTGGCACAAAGTTTCACTTAGGCACCTCAAGTGGGCGATGTTCATTTTAGACACCTCATGTAGGGTCTCGCTGTGTCATTTTGACATTTTTTGCTTACATGGCTTAGTGAGTGTAATACACTTGTTGAGCGCGCGTGAAAAACCTATTTAGTCGATTTTTTAATTATTTTTTTCTTCTTCTTTCCCATTTTCAGCCACCATTTTTGCAAACTTAAATATCC